GCCTTTGCCCCCTGTCTCTCTCTGCTGCTTTCTTTTTCTGCCCTTCTCTCCTTTCCGTGCACCTACTGATCCGCTCCCCCCCCCCCCTTCCGCTCCGTCGCTCCCTCTCTCTCTCTCTCTGCCCTCTTCCAGGCCATGGCCGCTCGCAACTTTGCCTCGGCCGCCCCCAAGAACGCGGTCCTCGTCGTTGCCGAGCACGATGGTGACAAGGTATCCCCTCTCGCGCATACACCCGTCCGCACATGTGCATGGTTCCTCTGTAAGGAGGGGGCGGACTGTGGCGGTCCCCCCACGCCGCATGCACCTTGACTGACCCGGGCTGTGACCCTCCCCACGCACACGCACATGTCGTAGCTCAACCCCTCCACCCTGTCGGCCATCACCGCCGCGTCCAAGCTCAACCGCCCCATTTCCCTGCTGGTTGCTGGTAGCAAGGCTGACGCCATTGCGCAGGAGGTGCGTCTGGACAACCCCTCCCCGCCCTGCCATTCCTCGCCCTACTGACGGCCGGCGTCCCTCTGCGCCCCCTCCACCCGCTCTGCCCCTGGAAATGCCCCCAGGCCGCCAAGACCGCCGGTGTCGCCGAGGTCCTCTCCGTCAAGGATGCCGCGTATGACAACGCCCTGGCCGAGAACGTCGCCAGCCTGATTGTCGACGTGCAGAACCGCCACAGTACGTCCGGCCAGCCGCGCGCACGAGCCCATGCACCCGTCTTCCCTGCTGTGCGAGGCGCCTCGCTGTCCGCCCTATTCACCCGTCCGTCCGCCCGCCCGCCCGCCCGGCCGAAGCCTTCTCGCACATCTTCGCCCCCCACTCCTCCTTCGGCCGCAACGTCATGCCCCGCGCCGCCGCCCTGCTGGACATCGCCCAGATCTCCGACATCACCGCCGTCAAGGACGAGGCCACCTTCGTGCGGCCCATCTACGCCGGTAACGCCATCTCCACCGTCAAGTCCAACGATGCCGTGCGCGTGGTCACCGTTCGCTCGACCGCCTTTGAGAAGGCCGACACCACCGGCGGCAACGCCACCATCAAGGAGGAGGCCGCCGCCGCCACTTCCGGTGCGTCGTGCTGCTTTGTGGCTGGTGCTGCCTCCCTGCACACCCACCCACATTCGCCCATCCGCCACCCATCCGCCGCTCATCCGCTCATCCACTCACACTGATGCACATGCAAACAGACAAGGCCAAGTTCGTCGGCCGCGAGATGGCCGTCTCTGATCGCCCCTCTCTGGGCACCGCCGCGCGCGTTGTCTCCGGTGGCCGCGCCCTCAAGAGCCGCGAGAACTTCCAGATCATCTACGACCTGGCCGACGCCATGGGTGCCGCCGGTGCGTCCTCTCTCCCCCCCCCCCCCCCACCCCCACCCCCTCCTCCTCCTCGTGCCGCTCAGCGCAGCCCCCTCTCTTCCGCACCTAACCCGCCCGGATCCATATGACCCCCTCCCCTGGCTCGGCCGCCCTCCCGACAGTCGGTGCCTCTCGCGCCGCCGTCGATGCCGGCTACTGCGATAACTCGCTGCAGATTGGTCAGACCGGTCAGATTGTTGCCCCCCAGCTGTACCTGGCCGTCGGTATCTCCGGTGCCATCCAGCACGTCGCCGGCATGAAGGACTCCAAGATCATTGCCTGCATCAACAAGAACCCCGAGGAGCCGATCTTTGCCCTGGCCGACTACGGTCTCGAGGCGGACCTCTTCGAGGCGGTCCCCGAGATGATCAAGCAGCTCAAGAACTAGACGCCTGCTCGCCAGCCCGCATCCCACCCCGAGCGCGAGTCCCAGGACCAGGGGTAGTAGGGCGGCCTCCCCCGCAGGGGGCATGCCGCATGGGCATCATCCGCGGCCCATCCTTCTCCCCCGCTCTCTCTCTCTCCCTCTCTCGTCCATTGTTGGTGCTGTTGCTGCCGCCGTTGCTCAGGCCGTCGGTGGTCCTCGCTGTGCCCCCCCCCCCCCCCCCACCTCGCCGACTTCTCCTCTCCGGTACAAGGTGGTACATACGAAGGTGAACACAACTGGGGGGATGGCACCCCGGCGAGAGGGGAGGACCGAGAGGTCGGGACCCGTGGTCGCTCACGCGCGCACCCACCCACTCAAACACAAACACATACCCCGTGCGCACAGCGCGCACCTCCGCGAATAAACACCCAGAAAGCCAATGTCCCACGCTCCGCCCGCCCCCCCTCCCCACCCTCTTCTTCGCGGTCCGACGCATGTGGGAACGTGTCTCGAAGGTGCAAAACATGCACACGCGTACATCGGTGAATGTATGTCCATGTATATTGGCAAGCGAGGGGGGGGGGGGGCCGTGCCCGGCGCCTCGGCGCGGCAGTAAGACGCACTATGATTGCTGCTGCTGGGCCACCGTCGAGACGGGGGCTATCGACGTGTTGATCGGAGCCCCTGGTGATGATGGCGGCGGTGGTGCCAGTGGCGATGCCGGTGGCACATCACCAGACGGCAACAGGGCCGCTGTCGAGGGGGGCGGCGTGACACCTGGGTGGCCGGTAGGGGAGATAGAAACCCGACGAGGTCCCGAGGGGGGAGGGGAACGCACGGAGGGATCGCCAGATTGGTCAGGACTCACCAATGAAGAGAGAGAGAGAAAAAGAGAGAGAGAGAGAGAAAAAAAGAGAGAGAGAGAGAGAGAGAGAGAGAGAGAGAAAAAGAGAAGATAGAAGGCCGAAGAAGAGAAGGAGGCAGGGCGTACTGGTGGGCTCGGAGCGGATGGTCGCGGCCGCGGCCGACACGGCCGCCGGCGGGAGTGAGGACTGAAGGCGTGGCCGGGCGCGTCGGATGGCGGGCCCCGCATGCAGAGGGAATGGCCGGATGGAACTCAGGCCACGCACCGGCCGGGCGGCGCTGCGCCGGGCAGCCACCGCCGCCATGGCCGCCGCCTCGGCCGCTGCCGATGTGAGAAGCAGGTCCTGCTCGGAGGTCGAGTCGAAGATGGACTCCAGCTCCGGCGGCAGGGCAGCGCTGTCGACCCGGGCCGAAAAGCAGAGGGCAATATCGGCCGCCGTGGGCAGGGCCGCCGGCCGGGAGGGCGCATTGCCGCCCGGGGGCAGTTCCGCGCCCTGGTGGCTGGGCGAGTGCGAAGGCAGCCCCCCGGGCGCCGGACCCGGCCCGGTGCCTGGCCGGACTTCGAGGCCAAAGGCCCCGGAGCCTGGGGCCAGAGCAAAGTGCGAATCGGCCCCGGCGCCCGCGGCCTGGCCAGCCCGGGGGCCAGCCAGATCGGAGGCCGCCGTGTCAGGCGACATGTCGGTGGTCCCGGCCGATGCCGCGGTTGCCGCGGTTGCCGCGGCTGTTGCTGAGGTCGCGGCGGCGGCGGCGGCCGCCGCCGCCGCCGCCGCCGCCGCTGCTGCTGCTGCTGCTGCTGCACCCGATCCCGGCAGCAGTGGCAGCAGGAGCCCCGACCCGGCCGGGTCCGGATAGAGGTCAGGCTGCGCCGGCAGGGGGAGGACCGCGCCCGGGGGGGCGCTCGGGCCGCCGGTCGCCGTCGACGATCTCCCCTTGGAGGGCACGTGCGCCTGGAAGGTGAAACTCGGACCGTCGGTGGCGCTGACGGCATTGGCCACGGCCGGGGCGCGTGGCACGCGCAGCACCGGCGGCTCGGGCCTGTGTGGCGCGGTTTTCGCAGCACGTCCCCGGGAGCATGAGCCGGCCCCGAAGGAGGGGGGGAGGGGGCGGGAGTGGGAGCACGCACGGTCAGAGGAGCCAGCAGGGGGGGGGGAGAGTAGAAAAGGAGGGTGAAACGAAGTGACCACCAATGTGGGGCACTCGGGCTCGGCGCGTACCGAGGGAAGCGCAAGTGCGCCTCCGGGTCAGTCGGATCCGGTTGGTACTCCTCGGCCAGGGCCTGGATGCAGTCGCTGGAGATGCCCAGGTCGAGCATGGCCTGCGTGGTGTCGGTGACGTTGGGGACAGTCCGGCCGGAGCTCTGGAGATGGGCCAGCCAGGTGGCCGGGCGTGTTAGAGAGAGCGGCGGGCGGCACGGCGGCAGGGCGGCAGGGCGGCAGGGAGAGGGGATGGGGTGACACGATGGCACAACCGGGCATCCCCCGGGCAGACGCACCTCGGCCGACACCTTGGAGCGATACACCAGCAGGTCCAGGCGCTCGAGCCACAGGTCGGTCAAAGTATCCCAGGCGGTGCGCCGCGCCGAGTGGAAGCCCACCCGCGCGCAGACATGCGCGCTGGCCAGGCGCGCCAGGCGAAAGACCGTGTCCTCGGACATCGGTGCCGGGCGGGGTCCGGAAAGCGGCGAGGGGAGGTGGGACGGGAGCGAGTCGGGGGCGGCGGGCGGATGGCACCCAGCCGGCGGGGGCATAGGACGAGGAAAGGGGGCGGAGCAGGGGCGAGAGGGGGGGGGGGGAGAGGGTCCAGACGTGCGAGATGGGCCGTTGCAAGCGGCCGGGACAGGGCGGCGCAAGGGCGAGGGGGCAGGGAGGAGAAGGGGGAGGGGAAGCAGTGCCGCGTATGCGCCGGCGCGCGCTGGCCGACTGGGCGGCCCAAAGAGAGGAAGCGGCGCCCGGGGGCGTGATCTCGCCGGGGCTGTGGGCCCCCCCCCCCCCCCCCCCCCCGCTTGCCGGACCCCGCAGACCAGCGAGACGGGCAGAGGCGCCCCTTCCGCGCGGGTCGACGACGGTGGCCGCCGCCCGCCCCGTTTCTTACGCCCCCGCCCCCGTTCAGGTCGAGGACCCCCCCCCCCCCCCGGCCCGAGCGCCATCGTCGGGCGGATCAGCGGGCGCGTCGTGCGTTGGCACTGATCGTTCGCTGCCGCCGGAACAGGCTCCAAATAAAACAGCGCCGTCGGAGTGAATTTAATAATAATCTAAATATCCCCTGGTGGATCTCGTGCTCAGCCTAAAAGGGGCTCGTGCTTGGTCACCCGTTCCCCGGCCTGTCCCCCCCCCCCCCCCCCCGTTGGCCGGCTTCCCTGGGGGGCCCGCCCCCCCCTTCCCCCCCCCCCCGCGTTCGGCTGGCATGTGTGCGATCTTCCGGCTGTGAAAAAACCCGGCGGGGGGGGGGGGGTTACGCCACATTCTGCTCGCCCATGCCGCCGGCGCTGGCCCGGGTGTGTGTGGGCGCCGGTGTGGGTGCGGGTGCCGGCGGTGTCGGCGCGTACACGTACCCGCTCGAGCGGGGGAGCGCCCTCGCGCCCTCGCGCCCGGGGCTTCTCCCTGGCGCGTTATCACATCACAACGCAATCGCGCACCGGCTCCGGGCGAGCGGCGGGCGCCGGTGGCGGGGGCTGCGGTCCGGAGGGGGGGAGCCTGTGTGAATGCAGGTAAATGGGCGGGCATCCATGCGCCAGTCGGGCACCGCGCGCACACACACGCCATGTTGACCATGGTCGGCGCGCGGCGGCCGTCTGGAGGGTAGACCTATCAAGGAGCGGGGGGGGGGGGGGGGGGGGGGGGGGGGGGGGGGGGGGGGGACACGCCACCCGCCACCTGGCACCGTCTCCCGCCGCCGCCCCGGTCCCTGGCGGGTTTCCCCCGGGGCACAGGCGGCCAGGCACGCCCTCACGGCACATACTCCCCCCCCAAAGCCCCGGAGCTCTCCCACCCCCGTCCCCCGCGCTCCTGTTGTAGCAGGCCGGCTCTTATCTGGCACCAAGCTCCGCCCCAGCGCACAGCCTGGCGCCCTGTCCCTGTCCCGGCATCCCGGTATTTAAGTGGGTGGACGCCGGTTGACCACCCCGCGAGGGGGGGTCCCGCACCCCTCGTTGAATGAGAGAAATATCCGCGCTGACCCCGGTGGGCCTGTTTT